TTTGGAGTCCACGCACAGGAGGCTGCACCTCAGTGGTTCTTTCTGGCCCCCACATGCAAAGCAGAGTAGACACACACCCACACAGAAATGCCAGTGGGGGATGCAGGCCAGCAGGAGACCTATTTTTGCTCCCTCCTTTGAAATGCAGCTCAACCAGGAGACTGGAGTTCATAAGATAATGGCCTTCCCTCCCTGCCATATTTGTATTCTCACGCTCTGCATTTTTATTTCTGCATGTAATGTTGCACACACTGATACTAACTGCAAATGGTTTATGCCAAAATTCAGTGAACAAACAAACACAGCAGAGATGCACAGCAGAGTTGTGAACAGGAAAAGGAGACCCTGCATACCATTTAGCGGTGTTTTTAAAAAGATAACAAAACAACATTTGCCTCTTCAACAAGGTAAATGTGGCTAAAAATGAAGATCTAATGATATTTGGGTATCGATTATGTTTATTTCCTGGTAACAAAGTCAATATAAAATTTGGTTAGACAAGACCAACTTCTCACAGATCAAATGACAAAAGACAGATGGATGGACAGAAGGACAGGTGGACGGATGGACAGATGAGTAGATGGATGGATAGATGATGGATGGATGAATGGAAGGATGGATGGATGGATGGATGGATGGACGGATGGATGGATGAGCAGATGGCGGGATAAATAAATAGCACATCTATGAGTCACACTTCTTATAGCCCAATTACCAGTATGATTATTCATTAACACAAAGACTTCCATCATGTTTAAAGATTCTTAAAAAACAGAAGCTACCTAATAGTAAACACCATATATGGGCAGGGAAAAACACTTTGGGAGGCAGAGATGGGAAAATTGCTTGAGGCCAGGATTTTGAGACCAGCTTGAGCAACATAGTGAGACTCCTTTCTACCAAAAAAAAAAAAAATTTTGTTTGTTTGTTTTTTGAGATCGAGTGTTGCTCTGTTGCCAGGCTGGAGTGCAGTAGTGCGATCTTGGCTCACGGCAACCTCCACCTCCCGGGTTCAAGCAATTCCCCTGCCTCAGCCTCCTGAGTGGCTGAGACAACAGGCGCCGCCACCATGGCTGGCTGTAATCCCGGCACTTTAGGAGGCTGAGGCAGGTGGATCACAAAATCAGGAAATCGAGACCATCCTGGCCAACATGATGAAACCCTGTCTCTACTAAAATACAATTTTTTTTAATTAGCGGGGAGTGGTGGTATTGTGCCTGTCATCCCTGCTCTTCTGGAGGCTAAGATAGGAGGATTCCCTGAGCCCAGGAGTTTGAGGCTTCAGTGCACTCCAGCCTGAGTGACAGAGTAAGACCCTGTCTCTAACAGGAAAAAAAAAAAGCCATATATGAAAAACTCACAGTGAACATCACACTCAATGCTGAAAAAATTGAATCTTTCTTCTAAGATCAGGAATGAGGCAAGAGGGCCTGCTTTCACCACTTCTATTCAGCATGGTACTGGAAGTTCTAGCCACAACAATCAGGCAAGAAAAATAAAGGGCTTTCAAATTGGAAAGAAGGAAGTAAAATTCTCTCCCTTTATGGATGATATGATCTTTTATGTAGAAAACACTAAAGACCACACACACACACACACACACACACACACACAAATTGTTAGAACTAAAAGATATAAATTAAGCAAAGTAGCAGGATACAAAGTCAATACACAAATTACCTGCATTTCTATATTGTAACAATGAGCAACCTGAACAGAAAGTTACAAAAATAATTTTATTTATGATACAATAAAAAAGAATAATACTTGGGCATAAACTAAGGAGGTGAAAGACATGTATAATAAAAACTATGCAACACTGCTGAAAGACTACAAAGACATAAATAAATAAAAACAAAGTCCATGAATTTGAAGACTTAACATTATTAAGATGTCAATACTACAAACTGATCTACAGATTAAATTCAATTCTAAATCCCAATGACGTTTTATGCAGAAAAAGAAAGGCCCATCATAGAATTCACATGGAACCTCCAGGGACCCCTAATAGCCAAAACAATCTTGAAAAAGAACAAAGCTGGAGCACTCACACTTCCGGATTTCAAAACTTACTACAAAGCAACAGTAATCAAAACAATATGGTACTGATGCAAACACAGACACACAGACCAATGGAATAGAATAGAGGCCTTAGAACTAAATGCTGGAATATATGAACAAATGACTTTTGACAAGGGAGTCAACACTGCTCAATAGGGAAAGGACAGTCTTTTGAACAAATGGTACTGCATAAGCCAGATATCTACATGCAAAGAATGAAGGTGGACCTTCACCTAACACCATATACAAAAATTAACTCAAAATAGGTCAAAAACCTAAATATAAGCCCTAAAACTATAGGATCCTTTTTCTTTCTTTCTTTCTTTCTTTTTTTTTTTTTTTTTGAGACAGAGTTTTGATCTTGTTGCCCAGGCTGGAGTACAATGGTGCAATCTCGGCTCAACATAACACAACCTCCACCTCCTAGGTTCAAGCAATTCTCCTACCTCAGCATCTCGAGTAGCTGGGATTACAGGCACGCACCACCACACCCAGCTAATTTTTTGTGTTTTTAGTAGAGACAGGGTTTCTCCACGTTGGTCAGGCTGGTCTCGAACTCCCGACCTCAAGTGATCCGCCTGCCTCGATGTCCCAAAGTGCTGGGATTACAGGTGTGAGCCGCCGGGCCCAGCCAAAACTACAGGACTCTTAGAAGAAAACCCATGGCAAAATCTTCCCAACATTGTATTTAGCAGTGACTTCCTGGATATGACATCAAAGGCACAAGCAACAAAAGAAAAAAACAGACAAACTGAATGTAATCAAAACTTTCAAAACACTGCACATCAAAAAACACTATCTGGCTGGGTAAGGTGGCTCATGCCTGCAATCTCAGGACTTTGGGAGGCTGGGGCTGGAGGACCACTTGAGTCTAGGAGTTTAAGGATACAATGAACTATGGTCACAACACTGCACTCCAGCCTGGGCAACAGAGTTAGACTCTGCCTCAATAACAAAAAACAAAAAACAAAACAAACAAAAAGCCTGGTGTAGTGGCTCATACCAGTAATCCCAACACTTTGGGAAGCCAAGAGAGGAGGATTGCTTGAATCCAGGAGTTCAGAACCAGCCTGGACAACATAGCAAGACCCCATCTCTACAAAAAATTATCTAGGAGTGGTGGTGTGTACCTGTGGTCCCAGCTACTTGGGAGGATGGCTTGAGCCTGGGAGGTTGAGGCTGCAGTGAGCTGTGATTGTGCCACTGCACTCCAGCCTGTACGACAGAGTAAGAACCTGTCTCAAAACAAAACAAAACCCTATCAGTAGAGTAATAAGGCAACCCACAAAATGGGAGAAAATGTTTGCAAGTCATATATCTGATAAAGGATTGATACCCACAATATATAGAAAACTCCTAAAACTCAACAACAAAAAACAAACAACCCATTTCAAAAATGAACAACGGACACAAACAAGCATTTTTCCAAAGAAGATACACAAATGGCCAATAAGCACATGAAAAGATGCTCAACATCATTCATCATTAGGGGACCACAAATCAAAACCGCAATGAAATACTACCTCACACCCAATAGAATGACTACTAACAGACAAAGAGAAATTAACAAGTGTTGATCAGGATGTGAAGAAATTGGAATGCTTATGCACTGTTAGTGGGAATGTAAAATGGTACAGCCACTGTGGAAAACAGTGTGGCCTTTATAAAAAAATTAAAAGTAGCATTACCAAATGATGTAGCAATGCCACTTCTGGATAGAATTCCAGCAACTCCCCTTCTGGGACTTCTGGAAATCCCACCCAAAAGAACTGAAAGCAAGGTTGCAAAAAGATAGTTGTACACCCGTGTTCATAGCAGCACTATTTACAACAGCTGAAAGGTAGAAGTGACCCAGGAATCCAACCACAGATGAATGATAAACAAATTGTAATATATCTACAGAAGGGAATATTAGTCAGCCTTAAGCTGGAAGGAAATTCTGGCACAAGCTACAATGTGGATAAACCTTGAGGCCATCATTCTAGGTGAAAGAAGGCCGTCATGCTAGGCCCAGTGGCTCATGTCTGTTTAACACCAGCACTTTGGGAGGTCAAGGCAAAAGGATCAGTTGAGCCCAAAAGTTTGCGACCAGCCTGGGCAATATAGGGAGACTCCATTTCCACAAAACAATAAAAATAAAAAATTAGTGGGGGATGGTGGCACATGACTGTGGTCCCAACTACTCGGGAGGCTGAGGCAGGAGGATCATATCCTATATAATTCCATTTATATGAGATCCTAGACAGTAAAAATCACAGAGACAAAGTTGGGTGATGGCTGCTAGGGACTGGGGGGAAAGGTGTGTGGAGTTATTATTTAATATACGCAGTTTCAGTTTTACAAGCTGAAAAGCATTATGGAGAAGGACAGTGGTAATTATTCCACAAAAGCACAAATGCATTTAATGCAACTAAACTGTACACTTTAAAATGGTCAAGATGGTAAATTTTATGTGTTTTACCTCAATAAACGTAAATAATAATTTTTTTAAATAAGTTCCTTACATAAGGCACTATCACTGGCAGAGTTACATAAAGTTATTTTCCCATTAGCATAAAGCAGACAAGAAATACACTCTTCAATAACATGACAAAGTTATAAGGCATAACTTGTGCTTCTTTTTAACCTGAGGTAAATGGTTGACAGTTTACAGAGAAGGAAATAATAAAACATGACAGAAATTGCTGTGTCTTGAGGACTACTCCTTCCGAAGCTGTTAGCTAAATGCTTATATCGGGCAACTTCAATCCGGAGTCTGAGGAAAGCATACTGCAGTGTCACTCTGTGGGCCGCCCTCGGCACAGTGAGCCGGGCAGCGCGGAGGAGGCCGAGCTCCGGCAGGAGAGGCCCGCGTTCCAAATTCCATGGCGTGAGGCGCTGCCAGGCTGTGGATGTGGAGCACAGGGTAGCTTTGTGACCTAAGAAAGGAACTCACTAGAATGTGTTCCATTTCCACATCACACAACGGGGGTTCTTTTGAGGATGAGCAGGTAGCAAGTCCTCAAGGAACACTGACTGAATGAATCCCTAACTCAAGGGCCACAGGCCTGGACAGGGAGAGGGGCCAAAGGGGTCCGAAGTTACTGGGTGAATGGGAACATCCTTAGAGGCAAAAGACACCGGCACTTCCCAGGTTAGGTCTGCAAAGAGTGCATTTTCCAATAAGGAGGGCGGCTGGCAAAGCACAGCCTTGTCCCTTTGGGTTTAACCTCCTTGATTTTCCCTCTTAGCCTCCTGTGGCACCATCAGGCCTCCAGGGACACCACGGCCCTCTGAAGTGCTGTTGCGATGAGAGAAACGCTCTAGGTCTGTTCCAGAGAACACAGCTGAGGCCACTGCAGCTTCCCCCTCCGTGATGTGTTAGTGAGATACTGGCTGGAAGAGCAGACCCCGTCTGTGTGATTCTGGTGCACGCTTCAAACGGCTGGGACCTCAAACGCAGCAATGACTCGAAAGCCCAGGGAAGCAAGAACTCGCTGTGCAAAACAAGACTGAGCATGGAAAACAAGAGCGCTGCACAGTCAACCACTAAAGTGATTTGAAATCGGGTGTGTTTTGTTTCTTCGACTACATAAATGAAAACATTTTCACCAAGGTAAAAACAAACTAAAGAGGAATGTTGCAGGACAACGGAAAGAGACTCTTCGGGTCCGTTCTCAGGCCCCTGCTATGTGTGTGCTCACTGAACGTCTTCAGGACAGGGGCTGGAAAAACAGATTGTAGAAGACAGAACATTTGAAAAATAATAAAGAAGTACACAGAATAAACCAAAAGAACTTCCTGTAATCTATCCAGGTGGAAAGTCAGTATTTTAATTTACTACAGTGTGTGTGTGTGTGTGTGTGTGTGTGTGTGTACAAAAGGGGATAATGGGGTTAAAATAAAATTGACTATTTTATATATACAAGAGCTGACCCTGGGATGTGGACAGGGTACCACCGTCCAGCCTAATTTTTATATATACACACACTGGGGGATCATTCTGTTCATACACTTTCATATCATACTTTTTTACTTAATGTTATGTAAACATTCTCCCATCAGGAAATAGTTCTGAAGATGGGAATTTTTATTGGTGTGTAATATTCCATCATTTCAATATACAGTTACTTACTGGACATCGAGTTTGTTTCTCCTTTCTTGCTGCTAAAACTACAATGTGGCACACGCCTTTGCCTAAGTTCCTGAGTGTTTCTGTGCGGTTGATTGCTGGAGGAGAAATCACTAGACAAAGGTTACCAACTTTTTGAAGAGTCTTCGGCTTATGTTGTGTTTTTTTTTTGTTGTTGTTCTTGTTGTTGTTTTGTTTTTTGAGATGGAGTTGTCTCCTGGGCTGGAGTGCAATGGCGCGATCTCGGCTCAGCGCAACCTCTGCCTCCCAGGTTCCAGCAATTCTCCTGCCTCAGTCTCCCAAGTAGCCGGAATTACAGGCACCCACCACTATGGTTGCCTAATTTTTGTAGTTTTGGTAGAGACGGGGTTTCACAATGTTGGCCAGGTTGGTCTAGAACTCCTGGCCTCAGGTGATTCACCTGCCTCAGCCTCCCAAAATGCTGGGAGTACAGGCATGAGCCACCGCACCTGGCCAGTCTTGGGCTTATTGACAAAAAGGACGGATTTCTCTTTCTACCAGCTGCACCTGAGAGAACCTTTGTCCCTGTCTCCTTGTCTTCTCTGAGAACTCTAATTCCTTTTTTGGCTGAAACTATTTAAAAGGACCTCAATAAACAACACAAAATATTGGCAGAAAAGCTAAGCTTGTGGTGGATGCTCTCACACACTGAGACTGCAAACCGCAAGGACTGGCTCTCACAGCGCCCCTGCGTGGTGGCCCCCTTCTTTGTACTTATCTTCCTTCTGTAACTGCACCTATTGTCACCACCTCCCATCCTACCTTGGAATTCCCTCCCAGACAACATGTAACTTTGCTGCAATTAGGAGAGAGGCTAAGTCTCATTTCCAGGAGGCTCAGGGCTCGCTCTCCGTCCACATTTCCTGGCTCCCTGAGCTATCTCAGCCTAAGGGTTAGACGGATTTATCCATGAGAAATTAGCCATATATCTTAATAAAACAGAAACAATTACATAACAGAGGAAGAGAAAGTGGGTTTTTCACATTTGATGAGGTAAACAGAAAAAAGGGGGAAGAAGGACCGAGGATGTATTCAGTATGTGCAGTTTTCTCTCCTAACAATATGTCTAATTTAATTCCAACAACAACCGTGACAGATAAGGTGAATGTGGGCTTAGAGAAGGTTCACCGTGGCCCACGGGGACCCAGCTCATCACTGCCTGGTGCTGATGCTCCACGGAGTCCTAGCACAGCGGACGCTGGAGGCGGATAGGGCACCTCTGTCCAGCCTCGCCCAGCCCAGCCCTGTCTGCTCTACTTGGCCGTCCTACATTACACTCAGTAAGGTCAGTGTCTACAGAAACCCACACCAGCTTGTTCTCAATCAACAGCGACGTCTGGCCAAGTAGATACCACTCTGCGCACCTTATTCCCGTTTCTGCTTGTGTCAGAAGTGCCGAGGAGAAGGAATAGTTCACTTTCTTAAAAATCCAGACAGCTTTATCCTTATTGACAAAAATTACTTGTTGATGGCATATGGTTGGTCCGATCTGGCTGCTGGGAAATAGAAATCTATGAAGGGATCAGCAGGTGCTCAGTAAATATTTGCTGAGTGAATTAATGCATTAATTAATTCACCTTTCTATACCAAATATTCAGGATGCAAGGAGGGCCGATGCGGCAGGCAGGATGTGTGTTCCTTTTCTCATTGTCCAGGTATTTCTGAATAACAAATACGTGGTGTGCCTAGACTATAAATTTGGAAAAACGAAGCTTGAAAACTTATTAGAAAAAGATTTTTATTGATACATAATAGCTGTGCATATTTGGGGGGTATATGTGATATTTTGATATGTTCACATAATGTGTACAGATCAAATCGGGATAACTGGAATATTCATCACTTTTCTTAATTGGACTATCCATCGTTTATCTTTCCTTTATGCTAGGAAAAGAATTTATAAAAGAGAAAACGGGATAATGGGGTTAAGATAAAATCCATTCTTATCTTCAGAAAACGAAAGGGGCTGCACACAAGAGATTTTCTGGAGCCCGCCTCTTAACAGAGACCGTTCCACTTCCCGCCGTGCCACCTGCAGGAGCCGCTCATTTGTCTCTGTCTCCAAGACTCCTTTGCTTTTAAACAACTTGTCGACAAAATAATCTTCCTCCAAGCCGGTGTGGGTATCATCACGCTCTTGCTGAAATCGCAACAATCGGCAGCTTCCCAGGGCTGCTCAAGTGCCTGGAGACCCCTCCCACCATCCCCATCCTCAGTGTGCCGGCGTCAGGCTTGGTGAGCAGGCAGCGGAGCTAGGCTGCGGTCTCCGTTCTGCAGGAACAGGAAGCCCACAGGCCACACACTCCAATGAGCCAACACTCAGGATAAACTGTGAAAAGTGCAGCTGAAGTGAATGCAGGGCTCACAGGCCCAAGCGGGTAGGAGCAGTGATCAATTCACCCCGGCTGACTGGGAGAGGGGCTTTACTGTGAGAGGGAAGACAGGCTGGCTCCTGAAGGATCAAAGGATACCGCCAAGCAGATGACAAGCACGCTGCAGTGAGGACCTGGGGACTGGGCTGTGTTCCTGGCAGGAGAAATGGCTCAAGGATCACCTGCATCTGACGTCCACGGTGGCCCGAAAGCACCTGGTCCCCTCACTGGGTCTGTCTTCTCCTCCTCCTCTGGAGCACCCGAGGGACCAGGACAACCTCCCTCTGTCCCGTGGGTACCCCAGGAAGCCTCCCTCTCTCCACCACTGGGGCTTGGCTCTCCCTCCTTGGAATCCTCACAGGACTTTTCCTAATCTGTGCTGTGAAGCACATTCACAGTATCAGGCAATAGGAGCCACATCTAATGTGATGGCCAGTTTTGGTGGCCCCACGTTGTCCAGGACAGCCTCGGCCACTCCTGCTGGTCCCAGCAGAGTACTAAGAGCGTGCTCTTTCACTCTCAGAGTCTGCTGGTGTGCACAATGTGCTGTGAGACTCCCCCCAGGTTCCCCAACACACACAGGCACTGCTGGAAGTACGTGGATGGGGAGACGGTGAGAGCGGCACACAGCCAAGTTAGGGAGCCGACTCAGAATTTCAGATGGGCCAGGAGAACTCACAGAGTGCCTCGGTTTCCTCACCTGTAGAATGGCAGGATGGGCAAGGGAGGAATGAGTGTGTGTGTGTTTGTGTGGGTGTGTTGACACCAGTACTTTATACAAGCACATAGCAAAAACATTCCTATATGGACTTTATCTTGGGTTACTTCCTTCTCTTTTTAATCTTTCATTCCTTGAAGTACCAAAGTTAGGGTCAGAGTGGAAAATGTACAAGCCTTATACGAACTGAGTTACCCATTATATGATGAATAGTTGCTTTCAGCGATTTCTACACATTCTTCACAGAGAAGAAAAAAGGAAAATAAATATGGTAGCCTTTGCACTGGGTACAGTGACGTTACCAATGACATGAGACCTATCACAGTCTGCTGAGCCAGTATCTCTATCTCCATTAAAAAAAAAAAAAGGATCTTACACACATACACACGTAAGCAACCTATAACTTCATCTCCCTGACACCTCCCGAAAGAGCTAAATGCACAATCCTTCTTGGCCATTTCCGGTTTACATACATTTACTTCTAAATTCACGTCCATCCTACGGACACTGGTTTTGCAAATATTTATGACTGCAGCACCATGTGGGTATATAACCTCATTTTTGTCTGTTTTTTGGAGCTAAGGTCTCACTCTGTCACCCAGGCTGGAGTGCCCTGGTAGGATCACTGCAGTCTCAAACTCCTGGGCTCAAGCGATCCTCCTGCCTCAGCCTCCCAAGGAGGTGAGCCTACAGGCATGCACCACCATGTCTGCTAATCTTTTTAATTTTTTGTAGAGATGGGGGTCTTGCTATGTTGCCCTGGCTGGTCTCAAACTCCTGGTCTCACGAGATGCTCCTGCCTTGGTCCTCCTTACTCTTCGGAGAGTTGTACCCAACTGTCTGAGAGTATTTATGCTAATTTAACCAGCCTTTCCTACTATGAGTATTTGCAGTTCTAAAGGACACAATTAGAATCCCTGTAACAATCATGTAAATATTTTCAGAGGAAAATCCTCACAATGCAATCTCTGGGTTAAAAGTATGCGGTTTTTTTATACCAGCCCCTTATGCACTCCTATGTGACATTTTTCAGAAGCACATTTTCTCATATCCTTAGTAATGCTGCGTGAAAAGTGACTTATCCTTATGTCTCTCTAAGCATATGATCGATACTGCCTGCCTCCCCATTACCACTATCCATGTTTCTCCTCGAGTTTGCCTTTTGGGTCCTTCCCAGGACTGGCTCTCTGATGTCTCTGAAGCCTGGGAGTCCTTTTACCACATTGGATCTTTACCCTTTGGCATGAATATCGTCCCACCCATTCTTCAGCCAATTTTTAGTTTCAACTCTGTTCTTCCTTAGTTTCTGGTCTATGATGTATTGAAAACACAAAAATAAAATAAAAAGCCTCTCCTACTCTACGATTATAACTTATATTCAAGATGTGGTCCAAATATTCGTTTACGTTTTCTCCCAAGTCCTTTTAAACGTGCAAGCTTTTGCTCCCTCAGATATTTTATACATGGCATGAGATAGAAAATTGTGTCTAATGTTTTCACCCAACACCTTAAGGAGACTATCCCTTTGCTGAGGCTTGAAGCACCATCTTTGTTACCTGTCTAAATTC